TATAAACACAAAATAAAAACAAAAAGCTAAACATTAATGATCATCATATTACATAATATTCCCACTGTCCAATCTCACACATGAAGAATGGCCATTTGGGTTAGATATCCCAGCATATGTTCATACCTTCAGGACAAGAGGAAAGAAAGGAGGGCAACCAAAATGATTGAGTGGATGGCAGGACTAGACTACAAGGAGCGATTAGTCAAACTGGTCATGTTCACACTGGAGAAGAGAAGGTCGCAGGGTGATATGATTACGGTCTTTAGGATTCTGAAGGGACAAGATAACTTAGACCATGATAAGCTGTTTTATCTTGCACTGAACAGTAGAACCAGTGTACACGGCCTCTGATTGAAAGGGGGGTAAATTCAGAACAAATCTGTGGAAACTACTTCTTTGAGCGAGTAGTAAATGTGTGGAACAGGTTCCCTAGGAAGATGGTGGAAGCAGAAACTGTTGTTTGTTTCAAGAATAAGTTAGATTTCTGTTAGAAAATAATATCTCGGTATACAATATATATAGATTGGGACATGGCATGTCAAGCGACTGCCAGGATGGTGGAAGGTGAACTGGATGGACTTCTTTTACCTAGCAAATTTTTATGTTAGGAGAAAATTGGCCAAAATAAATTTGATTATAAATAGATTTCAGGTCTCATTGTTTAGCATATTTCTCAATATCCTCTTTCCAGTTATTCAAATTATTGATTTAATTAGCTTACTTCAGAGCAAGTTTGTCCCATGTTTTAGAATTATTCATATGGTTACCCCCTTTACACTTTTGTCCATCCTTAGTGATAACGTAAATAATTCAGCTAGTCAGAATATTGTATAATATCTGGAAAATGTCTGAGAACCTGCCAAATGGATCACGTACATAATTAATGGAAAACTTTGAGGTAAAAAGAAAAACGGAATCTACTTAAAAGAGGAGCTATCACAGCCCAAGATTTCAAGATTGTATTATGGATAGATACTCATGCAAATTGTATTCTATAAAGTAACATAAAAGCAAAGATGTCACAGAGACAATTATTTACATTGTATTATGTTCATTACACCTAATGTAAAATTCATGACATTATTATTTAAAGCAATCTACTTTCTAACAATAGCTGGAACTTGAATAACCTATAAGATTCTTGTTAATTGGAAGCTCACAAGCCATGATATTTTACAGTGAACGTTGGGGAGAAAAAACCTTTAATTATATTCTGGAAAATCTCTTAGAGCGTTTTCATAGTGTCTTAGAACATTTGTTTGATCAGTTCACGTTTAATTTAGGTTTAATAAGAAATTAGCTAATCTTCTAAGCTTTTTCAGACTGATGACTGTTAACAGCAGTGAGTGAACAAGGGTGCATACCAAACTAAAATTATGTAAAATAAATGCCTCTACATTTGTCACTGTTGTACATGGGGCAAGCTTATGGTTTCCAGAAACTGGTCAATTTACAGAGAGATAATAATGTATTTCACAGAATTATAGAATTATACAGCCCAGAAGGAGGCAATTCGGCCCATCCTGTCTGTGTCCGCTCTTTGAAAAGAGCTATCCAAATCATTCCCGCTCCCCTGTTCTCTCACCATAGCCCTGCAAACTTGTCCTCCCCAAATAATTATCTACTTCTCTCTTAAAAGTTGTTGTTGAATGCATTCCAGATCCGAACAACTCACTGTGTGAAAAAAATTCTCCTCACCTCCCCTCTGTTTCTTTTAATGACTATTTTAAATCAGTGTCCTCAGGTTACGACCCACCCGCCAGTGGAAATAGTTTCTCCTAGTTAACCCTGTCGAATCCTCTCATAATTTTGAAAACTTCTATTAAGTCTCCTCTTAACCTTCTCTGCTCCAAGGAGAATAATCCTAGCTTCTCCAGCCTCTCCTCATAACTGAAGTCCCTCATTTCTGGTACGATCCTGGTAAATCTCCTTTGCACCTTCTCCAATGCCTTGACATCCTTCCTAAAGTGTGCTGCCCAGACTAAACACATTACTCTGAGGCCTAACCAGTGTTATATAAAGGTTCACCATATCTTCCTGACGTGTGTATTCTATGCCCCTATTTATAAAGCATAGTATTCCATATACTTTTTTAACAGTTTTATCTACCTATCCTGCCACCTTCAAAGATTTACTGATATGAACCCCCAGGTCTCTCTGTTCCGTCATCCCCTTTAAGATTGTATCATCAGCTTATATCGCCTCTCCTCATTCTTCCTCCAAAAATGTATCACTTTGCATTTCTCCACATTAAACTTCATCTGCCACGTGTCTACCCATTTTACCAGTCTGTCTATGTCCTCTTGCAGTCTTCTTCTATTCTCCTCATCTATTATTACTCTTCCTAGCTTAGTATCATTTGCAAACTTGGAAATTGTATACAATAATAATAATCATCCTTGCATTTGATATAGCATCTTATCACGTCATTGAGACATCTCAAAGTGCTTCACAATGTACTATAAAGTGAATTGACTGTATATTTTGTGGGCAAAACTAGGGGCAAGTTTTCCTACTCTACACGCCTCTGTTCACCTAGCAGTACGTAGGAACCCAGTTGTAAGTTGATTGGTGGATCACTTTTACGGGGGTAATAATCCCTTTAAAAAAATGATAAATAATAATAATGTGGTCACTCAATCCACTACTTTGCGGGAAACAGCTGTGTGCAATTGGCTGCTGCATTTTGCCTAAAAAATATATATATTCATTTTACAGTATGTTTTGTGAATCGCTTTGAATCGTCTCAAAGACATGATAAGGTGCTATATCAAATGCAAGGTTATTATTATTATATACTAGCAAAACATTTTTACTTTTTGGTGCACAAGAGAGATGCAGATGAAGGATTTTTCACCCATTTAATCTCAGCTTCAGAATATCTGCTTTAGATGACTCAATACGGTAACAAACTGTTTCTTAAATAAGTCCAGTACCCTAATCTCTACCACATTTCCTAGCAACCTGAGTTACTTTAAGTTTGCAAAGACGAGCCCAGTTTTAGTTTACCTTATTTTTATTACTGCGTTCTGTAAATATTTATTTATTATCCTATATTCTTCTGGAACTCCTGTCAGTTTGATGTTATTTCTACAAAATACCCAGTCACTATGCTTTACAGTGTTTCCTGTGGGCACATCCTCCTGATGTAAAGGCTCTATAGTAAACTTAAGGATTATTATTTTAATGGGTCTGATTCTCAAGACTTTTGCTTTTAGAATTGTGGTCTTTTTTGTTGCCACTTAAGGAGTAAGCTCCTCCACTTGGCTTACTCAGATTCCATGTCAAAGTTAATGCCTGTTTAATATCTACCTGTTATTCAGAGTTCCATTGTTTTCTGAATGTAAGAACAAAATAACTCCTTTAGGATTATCAATTATTATTTGAAGACCATTGCCTTAGCAAATTGTAGCTACAGGATTACTGGATGGCATCTTTGGCTCCATTCCATTGTCAACAGGGCGGGTTCTTAATACTGATATCTGCAAATGGTATAATTTTACTTTGCATTTCATCAGAAGTATATTGCTGTTTAGGTTGAATGTTTTTAGTAAAAAAAATTGTTAACATGTATCAGCTCAGCAGAGCGTAAACTCACATAAACTTCTAACAGTTGGGACTGCATCCAGTTAGAGGATTGGGAAATCTTGACTGAAATGGAGATGAAGTTAAAGAACAGTTAAAGATAGGAAACAAAAACAAAAGTCACTGGGAACACTCAGCAGGTCAGGCAGCATCTATAGGTTCTGATGAGGGTCATGGACCTGAAACGTTGACTTTCCTTTCTTCATAGATGCTGCCCAACCTGCTGAGTGTTCCCAACGACTTCTGTTTTTGTTTCAAATTTCCAGCATCTGAGTATTTTGTGTTTTTTTTAAAGATAGGGTTTGTTCTTGTTACCCTATGCGATTGCAGTTGAAAGCTCTACCACATATTCCATACTGAAATAAAATAAATATTTTCAATAACTACACAATTAAGTGACTATCTTGTAAATCTTTGTAAAATCATTAAAATGCAGTCCCAAATACTTGGATACATTTTCTCACATATTCCTTTTTCTACAATAATTACATTCGTTTCATGAGAGTTAGATTCTGGATAAAGAGCTAAACAAAAAAGATGTGCTTTGTGCTGATGCCAAGAAAGGCCTGTCTGTGCCTGTGCCTTGCGCTTTGTATTCTAACCTGATATGACCGATGGAGATTGTTGACGTTGCTTCAGCAGCACTCTTACGTTGCTGATTTAAATGCTCCCGTTAAAATGTTTTGCTGTTTGATTTTTTTAACAAATATTTGAATACATGATTTGTAGGGTCAGCAAATCTTAGGGGAGCAATCCCTAAATATAGATTTACTCTAATTTCTTACTTTTAGAAGATCTACAATTTGGCAAATTGTTGAATTCAATCGTAAATTGAAGCCTGTTTTCTGTTATTCTTAAATTTAGGCTATATTTAAGAATTTGCCAAATACCTAATATTCTGAAATGCCAAGAAAATATAATAAATTCTACCTGGAATTTCTCTATTTTAGAGAGATTTACTCAATTTTCTTGAAATTTGGCAAATTCTTAAATACAGCCTTAATTTAAGAATGACAGAATCAGGCTTCAATTTTCAACTGAGTTCAACAATTTGCCAAATTATAGATGTTCTAAAAAGTAAGAAAACAGTATATCTACAACCAGGTGGGATTTTTCTCCCACTGTATGCTCTACCATTTTAATTGTGAATTTACTTTTATTTAACTTACCAGAATAAATGTTCTGTCATTCCATAAATATACATTTTATTTTATTTAAAAAATGCAGTATGCATCCTTTTTTTAATGAAAATTAGCAATTAGCTAATCCAATTAGCAATGTTACAAGTTCAGAACTTGGCCTTTAGTGAACCACAATATAGACAGGGAATCCGTCGCATATCATTCAAGTACAACTCACTTTTTCAAACTAGAAACTTATTCATGATATGCACTGTTAATCTTGTGTTGCAGACCTGAAGATGGGGAAATCCATCCAGAAATTTGCAGGCTTTATATCCAGCTCCAGTGCTGCCTAGAAATGTATACAACAGAGATGCTGAAATCCGTCTGCCTGCTGGGGTCCCTTCAGCTTCATCGGAAAGGTAATATAATCTTTCAACACTTTGTTAAGGTCTACATAGGAGCTAGCCTGCATCAGTAAATTTACCAAGATTGGTGGCTGAGTATATCTTATTCTCTACACGCTGGCTTGTTCCCTCCTGCTGCTCTGTAAGATAGTGACAATGCTCTGTCCTTCATTGCAGCTCTCAATTCTTCAACTCAGTCGTTCTCTATGCCATTCAGTATAAATTGAGATGATTTGATGAAACCGTTCCTACATGATCAGGACTGCAGTCCTGCTAATTCACTCATTAGGATTGACAATCACTGATTGTGAGTCTTCTTTGATGCACGTTACTCTTTGATTGAAGATAACTCTGGATGTTCAATGGATTTGAAATCTGTGTCATTTGCTGATTTTAAATCCTTTCAGTCCTTTTAGTTCCATGATGTTCACAGATCTGGTGCTACTGTGCTATTTGCTACATTACGGGTATATACGGTATCTGATGTGCTACTTATCACCTATTATAGCAATCGGATACCACATATTGCCCCTCATCTAAATAACATCTACTATGACAGATTATGAAATGAAAGCAATGTATATAGTGCATAATTCTCGTCAATGTGCATGTCACAAATTTATGATTGTCTGCCTTACCCTATCAGTGGCCCCTTTGTTTTGCCTTATTCTTACCTGTTTGTCCCTCATCCCCTCCGGTCCACCATTAGCAGCCATGCTTTCAACCACTAAGCCCTGAAGATTATGGAACTCAATCCCTCTGTCTTGCCCCATTCTTTCCCTCATTTAGATCAAGACTGAAGACCTTCCTCTTCGACCGTGCTTACGGTCAATTCCCCCCCTCCCCCCCCCCGGCTCGGTGTCAGGCTCCGCCAATGTTAAGTACTCCAAGACTCTATCCACGTAAAGGGTGCTATATAAATGCAAGTTGTTATTATTCTTTCCCCATAACATATATTTGGGGGAAAATTCAACCCAGCTCTAGATTTACTCTATTTATGCAGCATTTTGGAACATTCAGAATTTGGCAAATTTGGGTGTTCAGTCTTAATTTTGAAGTCGGGTTTCTGTAGTTATGAAAAGAATTCACGGAAAACATGCTTCAATATTAAGGCTGTATTTAAGAATCTGCCAGATTTGAGACGTTCAAAAACTCTATATAAATAGAGAAAATCTAGACCCAGGTGGAATTTCTCCCCAGTTATTGCTTGACTATATTCAAATAATCTTGAACTTTATTTAAAGTGTTACTATAAATTGTAATCTTCAGTTATTTCTTTAACAATGTTTAAATTCTATAGTTAAAATGAGTATGAATTACTTTCATTGCATCCACTTTTTTTAATTTTAAAGGAAAGGATTCTTCAGCAGTATTAGACAGTAAAATGGAAGAAAGTTCCCAGGCTCCAATTTTAGAAGAAGCATCATCATCAACTCTGCAAGATCTACAACAGTATTCTTGGCATGTTTCCACAGATATAGAAAACACTGAAAGGTTAGTGAAGGGTATTGTTCTGTTATCATTGCAATTTGTCCTGTAGATTAGTGTGGAGTTCTGTAGCTTAGTGGTTAGAGAACTCACCTCGCAAGGAAGAAGACCTGGGTTCGATTTCCAGCAAGGCGAAACATTGGGTAAGTTTCCTTACTCCACATGCCTCTGTTTATCTAGCAATAAGTAGGAACCTGATTGTTAGTCAATTGACAGATTGCTTTTATGGGGATAATAGTCCCATCAAAAAAATAATAATAATTTGGTCACTCAATCCATGAATGTTTGCGGGACAATGCTGTGCGCAATTAGCTGCCGCATTTCAAAAATTATATTTTGTGAAGTGCTCTGAGACGTCTCGAAGATGTGATAAGGCGCTATATCAAATGCAAAGATTATTATTGTTACTATTATACTTTCTATATTTGCATTATTTCATTTTGTTTTCCAGAGACATACGAGAAATGAAAAATCTTGTGAGCAAACTCAGGGAGACTATGCCTTTACCATTAAAGACCCAAGGTAAGGAGCATCTTGCTTCAAGCTTTACTCACAGTATATTTTAAGATACTTCTGAACAGATTAATTGCGATTGCACAATCAAGAACAACTTGCATTTATATAGAGTACCATCTACCTGCCTGTGAATACCTGAAACTGACATGGCTGACAACTATAGTTAGAGCCCCGTGAAATTATTTTTATTTCAAATAATTTTTAATTTTATTTTTGGGGAACTTTGTGCGGTTTCAATTTATCCTTAAAAGATGTGTTATTTCTTTTTATTACATTTACCTTAATACCTCCACTCCGCGTCAATGCTTTTCCATCTCCAGCTGGTTCTTGCTCCGCCTACAGAGCCTTCCTTAAGCTGCTCGCGACAACATGCCCACCCCCCTTCCCTCCGCAATTCCCACTGCCATAACACCGCCCGCCATTGGCTCTCTCACCCTCAATCCACATGACAAGATCCACTGTAATGCAGCCACTGGTTGATCACAGCGACAGGCAACCACGTCACCTCAAATTAGTCCACCCTTCAACCCGTGATCTTGCATACAAAGACCAATGAGAGAGCGGGAGAGAGGTCACGGGGGGAGGGGGAGCAGAACTGAACAATTTAAGATTGCTTTGTTGTGCCCAGTGCTGTGAGCAACCATGGCGGACCCTTCCGTGTGGATTGGAGGTCAGCCATTGGGGGTAGTCTTATGCCTGTTGTTGTGTATTGTTACAGTGGCGTGAGCCCCAGTGGCTGGTGCGTGCTTTTTTTTAGTTTTAAGTTATTTTACTACTGAGCTAAACTGTGTGTCAGCCTGGTATAGTGGTTGCACTCTCGCCTCTGAGTCAGAAGGTTATGGGTTCAAATCCCATGTCAGAACTTAAACTCACATAGTCTAAACTGACACTTCAATGCAGCACTAGGGATGTGCTACATTGTCTGAGGTGCCGTCCTTCAGAAGAGATGTTAAACTGAGGATCCGTGTGTTCAGATGGGCATTAAAGAACCCATGCCATTATTCGAAAAGAGAATGGAGTTTCCCCTGGTGTCCTGACGAATAAATACCCTCAAAATAAATCAGTCAATCACTCAATGGCTGATTATGGGACTTTGCCATGCATTACAGTATATCCTGTGATGCGCTTTGAGACATCTCAATAAACCATAGTGCGGCAGCAGAGTTGTAAACGGTGTAAATGCTTGGAACCCAGGCACTTGTCTATTAACGTAAAGGAAAGCTCAAGGTTTTGTCAACTAAAATGTTTCAGGGCTATTAGATTTAAAAATAGATGCTAATGGGTTATCAGATAGAGTAGAAGAACCAGCAATTCTATATAAAATGCAAGGATTATTATACAATTTGTTTTTTTATTTTGTATTTACAAAAATACAGGACTCTAACTATAGCGTCTCAACAAGACAGATAGTATTTGGTGAAACGATAGATCAATAGAAGCAAAATACCAACTTTGAATGACAAAAAGCAGATGTCTTTCAAAGATGTACCTAGTCTTAAACTCTGGTCTATTTGGGGCTCTGTTAGCTCCAAGGTTACTGCCAAACAATGGATGATTGAAATCGATTCAATCCTTTGCGGTGACCAGTTTCCTGAGTCAAGAAGGTTCGCAGTACAACAAGGCTTTGTTGCTGACAGACGAGAAAGCTTGACTCCTTAGCAGAACTTGGAAAGAGCAGACCAGCCATTAGGGGACAAGATTCTTCTCACTCAGCAGCCTGTTAACTGTGTAAGCCAAAGCTCTAATGAATAGGGTAATCCTAGCTGAACAAACAGTAGGAAGTTGGCAGTGGCAATTTAACTGGCTAAATTCCAGCAGTATATTCAATATTTTACTTACTGGGATGTATAGAATGTGACTTTATACATTATAAGGGAGTGATGAAATAAACTTAATTCACATTTTGCATGGGAGCATGATGACATAAACCATGTGATGATATAAGCCAGAGTCTCATTATCAGGAATTCATTGTATTTATTTTCCGTGAAAGGTACTGTATAATTGCAAATTATTATTACATAGACTGAGAGGCAATTATATTATTATCTAGGTTGTTCATGTTTTTCCTCTTTTTCATTGTTCCCCTATAAGAATAATATAATAATAATGCTTGCATTTGACATATCAAGCACCTTATCACGTTGTTGAGATGTTTCAAAGCATTTCATACGATTTTTACTGCAAAGTTTAGTCACTGTAATTGTTGGCAAACATGGCAGCCAATTTGTACAGAGCACTATCTCACGAGCAGCCATAAGGCGATTGACCAAAACTGTATTCACTTCCACGCATCTTAATTCCATAGTGACAATACAGGAGTAGAATTGCTGGTTCATTTACTCTATCTGATAACCCATTCGCATCTATTTTTAAATCTAATAGCCCTGAAACATTTTAGTTGACAAAACCTTGAGCTTTCCTTTACATTTGTAGACAAGTGCCTGGGTTCCAAACATTTGCACTATTTGCAACTCTACTGCCACACTATGGTTTAGGCATAAAGAGGAGTGAGAAACAGGCAGCTTCAGCCTTGATACCCTAAACCTTCTAAGAGTTGAAAAGTATTAAAACTGTTTAACGCATACAGTAATATTGTGTATTACACCTGAATCTCAAACCCACAATCAGAATGGTGGTAAATTGATAATTTAACTAATTTAGAAGATATTTACTAAGCATTATTTTCTCATGTAGTTTAGAGAGCATAAAATCAATTAACATGTATAACTTGAATCCCATTGATAATTTTGTGATTGTTTACTGTTATAGTAAGGCCGTAAATAAGAATAAAATTTGCAATATGAATTGGAATAGAATTATCTGCATGAAGATTTTCTTCAACAGCACAGTAGTGTTGCCAAGTCAGTCAGATGTACTAATTGATTTTTTTTCTCTCTCCGTTGAGTACTGAATGTTCTTGGCAGATTGCAAAATATGCACATCTTTTCTTTTATTGTGCTTTAGAACATCTGCAAAATAGATTTTCTGAAGTACTTATAAGAGTGACTATCATCAAGTCAATTCAATATGAATGCAACATACAGTAAACCAGACAATTTGAATTCAATTCAGCAGGCTATTCAATATTCATAGGAATGAATGGGCCCGGATGTACATGTCAAATCCTTTTCTTTCTCCTCGCAATGCCTTTATTGAGATGGTGATGTCTGAAAAGCTAGGTCCCACAGCATTGGACTTCCGGCTTTTTAGGAAACAAAGTACTCAAAAGTTGGTGCGCTTCCAATGTTTGGAGAGCAAAGCTCTACAAACCAGCAGCAGTGCTATTCTGTAGGACCAAGCTTCTCAAACACTGCCTTTGAAAATCGCATCAGGAGTGAGTGGAGAGCTCTGAAAGCGACACATGCATTCAGATGCACACAATGAGCTAAATATTAAGGAGTCCCCTAGTGTAGTGGTTAGCCTGCATTTACACATTTGCATTAGAAAGGATCTCAGCGGAAACAGTGAGTGAAGTGAAACACTTTCCTAGTTCAGAACCATCTCCAGCTGCTGTTTGTAAAAATCAGGTGCAGTGTTTTAGATACGGATTAAATCTACTCTGGCCTTAAGGATGTGCTTCAGCCTCAATATCGGATCACGCCTGTTGCAGTGGAGTGACATTTTCCATTTCTCATACTAACCATGTTATAGCTCACAGAGTGTGATGAGCAATGATTGCTAAATTATAAGGATAGTTTCAGATCCACAATGTACATTGAATCCTTGTACCACTTTTGAAGCATGGGTTTATCAACAATGACACATCTGCCATTGTGGGCAGACAGCAATAAAAAAACTACAGAGTTATCTTGAGTCACTTACAGCACTGCTGGATCTCTTATTCACCCCACCTCGCCAGGTGCCACTGTCTCTTAGCACATTGACGTCAAGATCCTTGCTCTCAACTACAATTCCTTATACACTCTCACCCCTCCCTACCTCTACGACCTTCCGAAGCCTAACCCTCCTTCTCGCCCTCTTCTCTCAACTAACTTGGGCCTGCTGCGCATTCTTTGCCCAATTCATCCTATCTTTGGTAACCGAGCCTTCAAACACTATGTCTTTACCCTCAGGAACTCCCTTCCTAAATCCCTCTGTCTTGCCCCCTCTCTATCTGTCTATAAATGCCTCCTGAAAATTCACTTCTTTGACTGGACCTACCGTCACCTACCTCCTCCTTTCCCCCAACCTCCTTGTTTGGTGTCTAGCACTGTCTGTGTAAAGTGCTTTGGGACATTACAATAAGTGAGATCTCCTGAAACTCCACTGAACCAGCTGCTCCCTCCACTCAACAGGCACCAGCCTGCTTCGTGCCCTATCCAATTCACCCCACTTGAGCTTTCAGCCATTCTTTCTGGAACTGCATCTCAGAGTCCCTCCGAATTATCCCCTCCCTTCACACTTTTAAACCCTACCTTAAAACTTACATCTTCGACTCCCTTTTCTGTCATCTACCCCCCCCCCCCCAGCCCCCACTTCCACCACCAGCTCAGGTGTCCTGTCAGCTCTATGAAGCTTTTTGAGATGTTCTCCTGACGTGAAAGACACTATAATAAATATAATAATCCTTGCATTTGCTATAGCGTCTTAGCACGTCGTTAAGATGTCTCAAAGCGCTTAACAGGATATATTGTGAAGTGGATTGATTGTGTATTTTGTGGGCAAAATGTGGCAGACAGTTGGGCATTGTTGGCCAGGATACTGGGAGAGGGAAACTCTCTTCTCTTTTTGAACATGAGATCCTTATTATCCAACTGAACAGCCTGGCGGGACCTTGGTTTAACATCTCATCTAAAGAACGGCATCTCCAGCAATGCAGAACACTCCTAGCACTGCATTGGAGTGCCAGCTTAGAGCGTGTGATTCGAAATCGTGACATGGGGCTTAAACCCATAACCTTCTGACACAGAGGCGAGAGTACTACCACTGCACCAGGCTGACACATTCAACCTGGCGCAGTATGATATTGTAGAGGAGCTATATACATCCAAGTTGTTTATTCTGCTGTCCTCTCAAGTAGATAAATGCTCAGTGTCATAACTTCATGCTTGCAGGGAATCATTGAGCTGCTTTTGTCCCTACCCATTACTGCTACCTAAATAACAAGCAGCACAACTGAGGCAAAAGGTGCAGGAGCAAAATTATCTGATATTCAGTACCAGCATTACTCCTATACCAGCATTACTCCTATACCAGCCAGCATTGATACAAAAACAACAACAACAAAATTACATTTACAGAGCGCCTTTCACATCGGGAGGATGTCCCAAAGCGCTTGATATTTGATATAAAACATTGATTCTAACACAATAATTGGTGATTCATAATCATGGTCAATAAATGCATCGGTAACAAACATGCATTATATTAATCTGCGGGAACATAATCTAATTCTGGAGAGTTCTCACATAAATGCCATTGAAAGTAAAATGGTGGGAGAGCAGAAATTATATTATTCTTGTAATTCATTTTGCAGAATAATCCTTGGGTTTCTCTTTCCTCAACTAGTATGAATGACAGTTGAATATATAGTGAGATTTTCTTTTGAGTTTGCAGTGTCTTGTAGGTATTGTTTAAGTAATTTGGTCTGAGACCCAAGCTCCTGCTTAAGTTGTCTCTTTAGTGCATGAAGTCACCAGAAATCCAAAAGGAACATTTTCAAAATAATAAATAATAATAGTATGCAGTTTGGGACATGACATGTGCAAGTGACTGCCAGGATGGTGGAAGACGAACTGGATGGACCTCTGCCTTCTTTTGTCTGTTCTAATAATCTAATAATGTAATAATCCTTGCATTTGGTATAGCTCCTTTCCTGTCAGGGGAACAACTAAAGTGCTTCAATTTAGCCAATAGTTAATCAAAAAAACATTTGCTTCTCGATTCGTGTGGTACTCTGGAATGATTTGATTCATGATTCAAGAACACATTGAAACCGCAGTTGTTACTTTCTGTTACAGATGATAGCAGTCTCCTAAATCTGACTCCATACCCACTCGTGAGAAGGAGGAAAAGAAGATTTTTTGGACTTTGTTGCCTTGTGTCAAGTTAGGATAGTGAATGCAAAATGGAAAGTGGACAAGATTGTCAGAATAAATTCATCACAATACTTATGGTGAAAAGATATATCCCCCACTCTTTTACTTACTCCTATTGTTTTGTGTCAATATTTGTTTTAATTTTTGCTGTACAGAATGGTCAATTTTGTATTTTTATTTTTCTCCAAAGACTTTTTTTGAAGATTGTTGCAAATATTCATAGGTATGGTAGCAGTGTTTTGCCTGAACCACATTTAAGTCTGAATTACATAAACAGATCTTCTATCAGTTCCTTTTTTGTATGATTTAAATTTAATGGATGTTTCTCTTGTAGCGTTATGAATACCTGAATAAATGCTTTTTAAGAACACAACTCTGTTGAGACGAAACAGTACACATGTTATTTTAACAGATGTAGAGGGGTTTAATATGCGGGTTGTGCTAACTATGTGTAAACAGATGTGTAAAGAAAGAATTACCTTGCCCTTAATTATGTAATAATAATAATAATCCTTGCATTTGATGTAGCACCTTATCATGTCGTTGGGCCATCTCAAAGCGCTTCACATAATATACTGTAAAGTGAATTGACGGTTTATTTTTGTGGATGAAACAGACAGCCAATTGATTAACAACATTGTTAATTACATAATTAAGGGCACATGTAATTCTCCCTTTACACATAGCTTTAGACATAGTTTACTTCATTTAGTCTTCCAAATAATCAGTAATGAATTTTATTTATATTTTTAAGAGCAGTTTTATTTCATGCACGAGCATTTAAATTAAGGACTAGCTCAAATTGTAAACAGGTAACCAACATCACTCACTCCCACCTCAATGTATTCTCTCTTTAATTCCTTACTGTATTTTCCCTTTGCTGGTTTCTTCAAATGAAAAGGAGTGGTCAAATCTAGAGTGCAATATATTTAAATGTAAAGTGTATCTATAAATATATATATTATCTTACAACAACAATGGCATTTTGTTAATATCAGAAAATAAAAGCATGTTACCTGCATATTAAAAAGTTGTGTTTAATGTTCTTTGGCATGCCAAAGTTAGCTCTAACTGTAAAAATCAAAGCTATTTTACATTGTTTTAATTAAATACATTTTTATGTTAATTCACTCTTGTGGCATTGTCATTGTTGATTATTGTTGTCTACTCCCAAATAATAATAATAATCCTTGCCTTTAATTACAGAACCTTATCACATCATTGAGACGTCTCAAAGCGCTTCACAGAATATACTGTAACGTGAATTGACTATAAATTTTGTGGACGAAATGCGGCAGCCAAATGCGCACAGCAGTGTCCCACAAATAGTCAGGGTGGAAACTGGACCTTCAGGGTGGTTTAAGGAAGAAGTTACATTGACTGTGTTTGACTATTATTTAAAGCAAGGACAAATAATCTGCCAACCTCATTCAAAAAGACATACTTCTGCCACCAATCTAAATTCAACAAATAGAGACAGACAGGTCTGTCCTTTTCTTGCACAAATGACATTCTGGGAACGTGCTCTCCTGCTCTTTCTGCCATAACACAAATTTATTCCCTTATTTGTGCTTATTTACATCACCAAAGTGTACTTATATAGTGCCCTCCACGTAGGGTTGGATCTCAGAGAGCTTAACTGTAGCAGAGCCTGACTCCGAGCAGGAGGTGGATGGAGGGGAGAGGTGGCCGTGAGCACGGTGAAGAGGAAGGTTTTCAGGCAGGACTTGAAAAAGGGGAAAGAGGGGGCAAGGTGGAGGAATTGAGGGAGAGTGTGCCAGAGTTTCAGGGTGAAGTGGCTGAAAGCGTGACCTCCGATGGTGGGGCGGAAGGTGTGAGTGACGAGCAGGAAGCCGGTGCCAGTCGAGTGGAGGCGCTGGATTGTGGTTGAGGATTGAGGAGGTCAGAAAGATAGGGAGGTGCCAGAGAGTGAAGGGATTTGAACACGAGTATGAGGATTTTTATAAATGTAGTGCAATTTAAAATTATTGTTACTTTTACAGTTAATCTTATTCTTATAAAGGCACTTTATAAATTAAGATTGCATTACAGATATTTACAACTGCTTAGGGGCAAATCTGCAAAGGTCCTAGAGCAGCAAAGAATAGCTCAAAACTCACAGCATCAAATTTGGTACTTGGACAGTGTGGAGCAGCATAATCTCCTGTGCCCACCCTGCCCCACCCATATCATCCTGTAGCACATTCAACATCAAGAAATTGAGCTTCTCAATGCATCTCACTTTTTATTTCAATTGATGTTATGAGTGCAGCAACACAGCAAAAGACTGTTTTTTGGATAAGTGTAAATCTCTCTAAAAGACAGGTACTCTGTTCTGCTGCAGGAAATTAAGTAGAGCTACAGGGAAGTCCTACTTTAGCTCAAAGTTCACAATGAATGTGGCAGCTTCTCTGCATAAATTGTTCCCAATTCTCCATGCATTTGACTGGTGTTTAGGCAAGTCGATTAACAACATTAAAGCCTGAGCGTTTGAAATCTGGATGCCCTCCAGGCTTGTCAAGGCAGTGCAGATAGTGATGGGCTTAAGGAAAGAAAAATTACTGTGATTTTCAACTACTTTCAGGGCTCCTGCTAATAATAGTTTTGCACAGGAAATTGTTTTTAATCCCCTGCAGGTCACAGATTGCTTGTAATGCATAAAAACATATGGTGCACACACAGGTGAAATGTTATTTGTAGAGTTTATTTTTGATTGCAGTGGAGAACAGCAGGGAAAAGTGGCTTAAGTTCAAAAGAGATAATTATATGTGGTGGTAATCAATGTGCAATAGAGATAATCTCCCACAGAGAGAGAGAAGCATGTAAAATAAGATGAAAAAGGTCATTGCAAAACAATGGGAGAAAGCAAAGGATGCGAGGAGTGAGAGACAGGAAGATTGGGCCTTAAAGAAAAAAACAAGATTTATAGAATCCTACAATCATAGAATTTACAGCACAGAAGTAGGCCATTTGGTCCATAGTCTCCGCACTGGCTCTGTGGAAGATAATAATAATCTCTTTAATTTGATACAAGTCTTTTACGAGGAAAGACACTCACTTCACAGGATACACCATAAAGTGTAGTGACTATGCACTTTGTAGGATAACAGAGCTACCAATTGAGCACAGCAATGTCCCACAAACAGCCATGAAGTGAATGACCAGTTCTGTGGGGATTGTTGACCATACCACCAGGAAAAACTCTTCTTTGTTCGAATAGTGCCACTGGATCTTTAAACAGACAGGTGGAGCATCGATTTAACTCCTCATCAAAGATAGCACACCACTAGCCCTGCATTGGAGTGTCAGCCTAGACTATATGAGTTCAAAGTCACATTTGACTTAACTCACAGCCTTCTGACTCGGAGGTGAAAATGCTACCAACTGTGTCAGGCTGAATGCACCATCACAAATCCTTGCATTTGAAATTGCAATTTATGATGTTTTCGATTTCATCTGGAGGATTGACAGACAGGATTCTGCTTCAAACATAATGTTTGTTAGGCCATGTGCTAACAACTCTGAGTAAAGCACCTCTCCCTTAGTAGGAGATGTTTGTGCCTGGAATTAAAGATATTCTCAGCGCCTTGGGCACTGTACAAATGTAACTTGTTGTTGGAATTGAAACTGTATGAGATAGGCAAAGAATGTGAATGAACAAAGAAATGGGAGACATGAAAGAAACAGAATAAAATGATGTTGAAACAAAATAGAAATATGTTCAATACAGACAGACACATGCTCTCTCTCTCCTTAAAGTCTTTTTAAAGTAATTGAGTTGCATTTTGTTAACATTTGTTTTAAATTAATTATCTAACACTAGTATATAGTATATCCATTTAAAAAATATTGTTTCATATCTTTATATAAACTCTGAAGAATTCTTGCAGAAGGATTTCTTATTGTTTAATATTTTACATTTCCAACGTAATCTAAATTGGCAGTAAAATCATTAAGTAATTTAATTAAGAAGTATTTAGAAACCTTTCCAAACTAAATTAAAGGATCAAATATGTTTATTCATCATCATAGACAAGGCTAAAACACAAAATACTGCAGATGCTGGAAATCTGAAACAAAAACAGAGAGAGTTGGGAAAACTCAGCAGGTCAGGCAGAAAGGAAAGTGAGTCAAAGTTTCGGGTCCAAAACTGAAGAAGGGTCATGGACCTGAAATGTTGACTCCTTTCCTTTCTCCATAGATGCTGCCTGACCTGCTGAGTTTTCCCAACTCTTTCTGTTTTTACAACTGACAAGGCAGTCATTTGTTATCAGCAATTTTAAATTATCAAACATACTAAAATCAGGCTGTAGATGCATCTGGTCATTTTTTGGGGGCACTTTAGAGTCAAAATGTCTTTAGTGATACAATTTACAGGAAGTAGGAATCAGGTTGTTAGTTAATTGACAGGTTACTTTCTGGAGGTAATAAACCCTAAAAAAAATTGGTGACTCGATGCAATTGGCTGTCAAGTTTTGCCCACAAAATACACAGACAATTCACTTTACAATAAATTGTGTGAAGCACTTTGAGACGTCTCAATGACATGATAAGGCGCTATATCAAACGTAAGCATTATCATATTTATTATTAGAATTTGTCACATTTTTACTGAAAAAAAATTGCTGGTAGTTTTCAGAATTCTATCTTGAACCAGTAGGGGTCACCAATGCAACAATCAACACAGAGCAATCATGGAAGAGTCAGTGTAAATATAATGATTAAGTCTTTGTGCAGGTGACGTTTCTTCCTGCAGTTTAATCCTGTTGCCATCTTATGTCCTATACATCTCTAGCCAATCGTTTCAGATCTGATGACAATATTATCCAAAGTGTTAACCTATCTTTCTCTTTCAGAGAAATGCTGTGTATTTCTAACATTTTCAATTTTAATTTTATTTTGGGAGAACTCAGTGAGAGGACTCGGCGCTTTAAAAATGGAATTTTGTTGTTGCTGCGGCTTAGCTTCATCTGTTCTTTATTTTGTTCCCGCTGTGCGTGCTCTGTGACGCACAATACCACAGTGCCAATTTGACTCGGCGGCCACCAGGTGTAACTGAAACACAAAACTGAAAATAACCCATGAACGATAGGAGATACCTGAAAACAAATATGCCCTTGTCACTCCCAGTTGCAAGACCTTTGCGATGAGGTATAAATCA